GGAGAGAGACCACTTTCTTCCTCGAGCAGCTGGAGCTGGACCCATGCGTCTTCTGTCTTAAAGATCTTGCACATCCTGAACTTCCTCCTCAGGGATACTTAGGGATCCATGTGGACGACCTGCTTGCGGCTGGACCCAGGTCGCTGTGCGACGCTCTCAAGGACTCCTTGAATGCTGCGCTGCCCGTGGATGAATGGCTCGATAATCAGTTCGAGTACCTTGGGTCCAGAGTGGTTGTGGAAGAAGACGGGGTGACGGTCGACCAAGAGCTGTATACCTCCGGGCGGCTCTTCACCGTGGACATCGGCAAGGAGCAGCACGACCTAGACCCCGCCACCCGCGAGCAGTACATCGATAACATGAGCGCTATAGGCGCCTTGTCTTGGTTGGCCTCGCAGACACGACCGGATCTCCAGGCCGGCGTTTCCATGGCCCAACAACTGCAACGACAGCCCTTGGTAGAGGACTTGCGCTTCACCAACTCCCTCGTCAAGAAGGCATGGGCTCACCGAGAGGAGAGTCTGAGGCTCAAGGCCGTGGACCTCGCCTCCTTTGAGATCCTGGCTTATCACGATGCCGCATGGGCTAACACCGGGCCGGCGACCGGACAAGATCCTGACTTCATGCTCTATGCCGAGGATGAGCTCGACGGCGTCATGGAAGACTCTCCCTTCAAGAACAAGGAGAGGAAGGCCAAGCGGTCAGCATCAAAGGTGGCCAGCCAGTTTGGGGTGCTGATCATGTTGGCCGACAGCGAGTGCACTTTTGGGGGAGAAGGCAACGCAAGCATCCTTGAATGGCGTTCCGCTTCTATCAAGCGTGNNGCCGCTCGACTTTTGCTGCGGAGACGATGGCTTGCTCCGAGGGACTGGAGACGGGACAGTACGTGAGGTCCTTCTTCTGTTCTCTTCTTGAAGGACGACTTCGGCGAGTCGAAGATCTTCACGGGCAACATCTGAGGTGCCTTTCTGATTGTAAGTCATTGGCAGACCACCTTCTGAAAGAAGGAGCTCCTAAAGTCCCAAGTGATAGGCGTTTGGCGATAGATTTAGCTGCTCTGCGCCAGTCTCTCAACTGGGAGAAACGCAGAGGGGAAATACCTCTCCACTGGATGCCCACCACTTCCCAACTTGCCGACATCCTGACTAAGCCTCTGAATCCTGAGAAGTGGTGGGAGATTTTGCGCGGAGCTTTAAGACTCCCTTTTTACGTTTCCCGGGAAGACCGGGAAAGTAGAACCAGTGTGAAGCCCTGATTTTGCAGGAGCTACGAACGCCTACCGCAGGCGCACGAGTTCTCAAGCTTCGAAAAGGGAGGACGTGGGCACAGGCCCCTGCCTCGGGGTTCTGGGTTAGGCGGTTCTTGTCTTGTTGGTGGTCTTGTGACGTGTGGTTCTTGTGCTGTGCTGTTGTTGTGGTTTTACACTAAACCCTAAACCCTCAACCCTCCTGCCCAGCTCGCTAGGCCGCAAAACCATGGGCGCTGCCGGGTGGCTACATTTCCAACTCCAATGCCTCAGCGGTTTTTGGCTTAGGGTTTTAAGGTTTAGGGTTTTAGGGTTTAGGGTTTTAAGGTTTTAAGGTTTTAGGGTTTTAAGGTTCTAGGGTTTTAGGAGGGCGCTTGGGTGATGCAAGGCTTTTGGAATTGGGCTTCAAGTTTTGTAGCTGCACGTAACCAACTCTAGAATATCTCATATGGGAAGAGCTGGTGGATAAGGTTTGAGGCTTTAGGGTTTGAGGCTTGGGTTGCGTGTTTAGGGCTAAGGGATGCAGTGGCCCTAAACCCTAAACCCTAAGCCGTAAACCCTAAACCCTGGGGGTTTGTGCCAGCATTTGCTTGAGGAGTCGAGAATGTGTTAATTGACCTTGAGTCTAAGGACTTTTGGAAGGATCCTTAATAGGAACCCTTGTAGCTTATGGGGGTTAAATTTGGTAATGGGGCAAGGGTCCCTTAGGGGTCCCTCCTAAAGTCCCTAGATTGAGGTCCTGAACTCAGAAAACCACCTGTTTCGGGCGGCTTGGGCACCTTGGACCGGGGGGGTCAGGGGAGCGTTAATGTATAGAACTGTCTCCAAAAAAGGGGTTTAGGGTTTAGGGTTTAGGGTGCAGGGGTGTTTGGGGTTGGGGGTTGGGGGGTTCTTGAGACCCTGCCAGGAATATTATGGGAATTGGGAGGGATCTTACAAGTGATGGTAAAGCAACACCCGGCTAAGCTTGGTAAGCTGTGAAGCATTTGCTGATTCATGGGTCCCCGTGCTAACTTACTTACTGGTATGGGCTGTTAGACCCGAGGATTCCGTGTTAGCAATGGATAGATTGAGGGGCCTGAAAGGTCTGATTGCCCGTCCTGGCATACTACACCCCCAAGGTTCCCCCTTAACCAAGGCAGTTGAGGGATAATTAACCCATGAACGATACACTGCGGCTGCAGCTTGCTGCAAACCCAAAACCCAAATTCCAAAACCCTAAACCCTAAAACCCTAGACCCTCAATCATAAACCCAAACCCTAAGCCCCAAACCACAGCGCACAAGCCTGGGCTTGAAACCTCAACTGCTCAGATTCCCAACATCCAGGACCTACCCAGAGGCTCTTATGTAGTTCCTTGGTTTAGGGTTTAGGCTTGGTGGTTGGGATGCTATAATCCCGAAGAGGAACCAAGCTGGAGCTCTGGGGGTAAACCCCTCACCTAAACCCAAAAATAACAAATCCTAAGCCCAAATCCTAAACCCTAAGCCCACCACCCCATGCGGGCCTTGGCCCTACAGCCCTTATCCTACATCCAAAGCCCCTCAACCACATCATTACCCTCAATCCTACATCCCTTACCCAAATGCTAAAACTCATATAGTAAAACATTTATCCTCGTACCCTTCATTCTAAGTTGCTTGCCGCAACCTCAAACCCCAAAGCCTGAACCCTATTCCCTACAAATCCTAAACCACAAGCCCCTGAGCCTTTACCCTAACACTAAACCCTAAACCCTTAACCCTAAATCCCTTAAGCTAACACTTCCCTCGCTGGGACCCAAGGCTCACAGCGCAGCGCCAGCACGGCGCCTCCAGGGTCGGCACTGGGCTCCCAGGAGCCAAGGGCCTAGGCCGGACCAGTGGATCATACTAGGGTTTAGGGTTTAGGGTTTAGGATTTAGGGTGTATAGTCCCCCTTAAGTAGATAGAATATGGGGTATATGGGGATCTTATTGTAATATACCCACATCCATATTCTATCTACTTAAGGGGGACTATATACACATTGGGGGTTTCCCAAAATTAGGGGTACCCTTTTGGGGGGGTCCCTATAGTAAGGATTACTATATTTTGGGGTCTAATATTGGGGTCCCAATATTCATAGGAAATCTACCATGTGCGATATAGATAATGCAAATATTGCAAGCAAGAATGATGCTTATACTAATGGCAGTGATAGTGAAGTACTAGTCATGATACATAATGGCGATTCTACAATCCATAAAACCCTAAACCCACCTGAACGGGTTGTATAGTTGGGGCTCAAGGCTCAGGATTGGGGTGTTGACCAAAGGGTTGAGGTTCAGGGGCAGTGATGATACAGTCTAAACTCCTTAAAGGAGCTTATAAAGGGTTTAGGGTTTAGAGTCTAAACTGCGAAAGGGGGGATATATAGGGGAGTATATAGGGGAGTATTGTAGGGGATATTAAGGGGATACTAGGAGTTTTGACTATAGCTCATATATAGGGGACTCAGGGCCTGTTCATTGAGTTGGAAGTTTAACTACACGTAGGTCGTATTTACACAGAATCTGCACGTATGTATAGGGATTTATGGCCTCGGGGTGGGGTTCTAGTTTGAGATTTCCAGGTTTTTGCGCGGCTTGCATTCGCAGCATTAGTGCCCTTATCTGAAAAACACGTGCGGGCTAGGGTTTTAGGGTTAGCACTACTTCTCTCATCGGATTACGTCAGGGCCAAGCTGATCAACAAAGATTTGAAGGCTTACCCTAGACTTTACACGCTAGTGCGAAGCGTGTGTCGGGTTTGTAAGCCGGTCCCGCATACAACTCTAGTATAATTTAGGGTATGTGTTCTAAGGATATTGGGCTTTCTGGGTAGTTCAGTGCAAACTTGCCCTGGGATAGGGCCTCCAAAACCCTGAACCCAACCCTAAGGCCTCTATTCCGAGCAGGAATAGGGCACCACAAAATACAAACTGTAACCTACCCAGGGTCCAACATACCTTCCAGAAGGAATGTATCCAATAATACTTGGATCCCTAAGATCTGATGTATGACGACCCTAAACCCTAGCACACGGTTTAAGGGTTTAGGGTTTACCCTAGCCCCAACCCCTTTATGAAACCTAAGCCCTATATATGTATATATATATATACGGTATATTCCTTCCTGAAGAAGTTGTGGGGCTCCCTGCGTCCCTAAACCCTAAACCCCAAAGTTACCACTGCTTGCCTGACCACCCCCCAAACCCTGTTTGGGGTTTTAGGGTTCAGGGTTAAGGTGTCAGGGTTCAGGTTGGTTGGTTGGTTTAGGGGTTAGGATTTAAGGTTCAGGCTTCAAGCTATTCATGCTTCAGTCAGGGTCTGAAAATTCCTTTTGTAGTACAGTCCTCTACATTAGTTTCAACAGATTTGATGAATATCCTTTTTTGAAGGGACCTCAAGGGGGGGTAGTGGGGCGAGTGGTGCTCGAGGGACCACTGGCAGAGAACACCACTCAACTACCCTCGCCTGATCTAAGGAATTCCAAGGAAAGCCCCAGAAGCGTCCTTGCAAAGACAGGCGCCGAGATGAATTATCATGTGCAAAGACACATTAGTGGAAACCCCAAACAGGGAACCCCAAGAATATCGTAGGAATATATAGGAATACAATAGAAATATACCTACCGTGGTCCTTACATTCTATTCAATTCCTACTATATTCATGGGTTTCCCTGTTTTGGGGTCAGAGCCCTTTTAATGATAGTCTTGGGAAGAGAACCCTGAGCCCAGTCACAAAATCGTGACATCCAGGGCCCCGTCCTCTGCGACCTCCCACACCTCGGGGAACATTTCCGGAACGGTCCAAGTTCCCTAAACCCTACACCCTATAACTGAGTGCTCGGGATTTTGGTGTAGCTGGACCCAGAAGTAGGTCGAACCATGGCCCCCATATAGCCAACAAGGCATTGCTCAATAAACTTTATGGGGTTTAGGTAGTAGTCGTACTTGCGAGATCCGATCTCGTGCAATAAGCGCCACTGTCTCGAAAATAAAAGGTACAGGTCTACTAGCTTGCTGTTAAGGAACAGAGAACACAACCTCCCCTTACTGCCATCATGGTGACGACACGATTCTTGTCCTGTCTTGCAATCATGGATGGCCTTAAAAAGCGGGGGGGGGTAGTGCCCGTGTCCACGATCGCCATGGCTTTTGATTGACACAACGCTGGCTTTGAGGACAACATGTTGGAGTTTCTGGCAACAATCGAAGGACTCCCCATAAGCCCTGTTATAACCCTCCATGTATCTATAGGGTCCCTAAAGGCATCCTGCTTGGGAATACTAATCGGTCTTTCCTTCCTTCCCTCCCTCCTTTCTTGCTTCGTTCCTTCGTTCCTTCGTTCCTTCGTTCCTTCCTTCCTTTCTCCCTGCCTAATTATCCCTAGGTATCCTTAATTGAGGCGGCAACTTGCGGGAACCTAGGGGGAGTGGGTTAGTAGAGGAACCTATGAACAACTCTGCTCACAAGAGCTACAAGCAATCGTTGTCTTAGATGCCTTCTCTATAATGTCTTCATCTATAATCAGTCCTAAAACCTGAACTTTAAACCCTTAATCTAGCAGTGCACAATCTCTAGGTGTAGGACACCTAAACCCAGAATCCTGAACTGTAGTCGGGCTACATAATTGGAATCGGGACTACATAGGGGTCTTCATAGGGGAATAATTATGGGAGTAATCGAGAACACTGGGTTAGGGTGTGGAGGC